TTGGGAGGGGGTCTCTCAGACGAAAGATACCCCCTGGGGGTCTTTCACTGTCACTGGAAGGCAGGAGTTTGGGGTTGCCTTGGTGACTCCCCGCTCCGGATTCGGCACGAAACCCAATTCATGAAGCTTTTGTTGGCTAAACCGAACCTTCCCTGAAGAAAACCTTTAAGGCCCTGAGCGGCCCCGCTTTCCGGATCAGGAGACTGAGCTCAGAGACGTGAAGCCAAGGCTGCAAGGTCACACAGAGGCGAGCTCCCGCCCGTCATCCCCATTCACGCAGCTTCCAAAGGACGCAGAGACGCAACTCCAGGGGGTCCCGACGCTTTCTCCTCCTGCGCACCCTTCGTCAAGGCTTCTCCTGTGCCTTCTCCTCTAGCGGCTAATGAGTACCGACGTTTGGCAGCGCTGGCCGAAGCCCCGTGCATCTGTTATGATTGCGGTTTGCAGAGACACGTGCTACCGGGAGTGAATGAATCGCGCGTCCCACCCCCGCCGACAGCCAATCAGAAAGAGCTGAGGCCGCACCACTTCCGCCTATTGCGGGCCCTGGCTGCGCCAGAGGGCCCACGTGAGGCTTCCAAGAAAGGGGAGTAGGCGGTGCCGCGTAGGAGGTGGGCTCTTGCCTCCTCTCCACCAATCAGGAGCTACTCCGGGGTCTCGAGGGGCGGGGCCGACGTGAAGCGCCAACGCTTAAACCGGAGAGGTGGGTGGGTGCGGGGAGGAGTCCTGAGAGGGAAACCGTGATTGATGGGCACATTCCTCCAATCCATGGAGGGGTTGGGCTGTATCGACCAATAGGAAGTCTCATGGGCGGTGCCGGCGCCGCAGCAAGTTCGGTTGCGCGGAGATTGCAGCTGTTCCCTGTCAGTGGAAGCAGCAGCAGTCAGAGGCGGCGGCCACGGTTGGCGGCGTCGGGGCGGAGGTGAGTGTCCGCGGCTCTCCGCATCTTCTCTTCCTGCTGCGTGTGGGTGGGTGGGTGTGCGCGGAGGCCGGCGCCCGGGGACGCTTATGTAAGGGTCGCGCGCGGCAAGGCGACGTGGGCTCAGCGAGTGGAGGCTGGAGGAGACGGCTGCGGGCGGTGCACGACGCGTCGCTACACGACGTGCTCAGTCCCTCCCCATCCTCAGGCTCCGGGTCGGTACGGGCCCGCCCCCTTTCTTGCTCCGGGAGTTGGGGAGCCCGGGAACCCGCGAGTCCGCTGCTTGCCAGAGCATCCTTCAGGCACTGGCGACTCGTCCCGCCCCCCTGGAGGCCCTCATTGGCCTCAGTCCTGATCTCGGGGACCCATTTTCCAGGTAGAGACACTTACGCGCCAAGCCTAAGGCGCGTCGCGCCGGTTTCCTGGGGGCTAGAACTCTAATCTGTTAAAAAGGGAGCTCCAGTAGTTCCCATCATACTGGATGGGAAATCCTGGCGGGGATCCTAAAAGGTAGACTGTTCCTTGTTCCAGATGTCTGCGCTTTCTGTCACTCAGGCATGCTCCTAGGAGCCCGTGGGTTCCACTTTGGTTCACGCATGGAAAGAGTTCTGAGGCTCTCAGGACACTGAACCTCCCAAGGCCCTCGGGAGGTGTCCCTGGGCACAGCCCGTTATTTCTTGCAGTTTGTAGGAGTTGATGAAGTGCGTTTGGGAAGTGCTCTTCCCGGCACACAGTGTGGAAGCTCTGGCTTTGAGGGCTTGTGCTTGCATGTTCCTCCCAGAGTGACTTGCCCTCTGTGTACTTTGAGTTTTACCTTCACAGGGCTCTTTCCTCATCTCACAAACTTTGGAATCAAGCAAGATTTCTACGTCTTTGGCAGCTCTGAAGTTCTTTAAAACTTGAAGGTCTCTTAATTTTATGGAGGAGATCAGCTAGATTACTCCCATTCTCCATCTGAGGAAACTGAAGCTTAAAGAGCCAACCATGTGGGCTCACTCCCTACGTCACAAGTAGAACCCCGAGTGGAGGCTCTGTTGTGTGCCTTCCCTGTTGCTCCCTCACCCACTGCCTTTGGCAATCCTGGCTAGCCTCCTGCAAGTCACCCTTTCCCTGTATATGATGCAAATGCTCATGCTCGGGTTGGACATGCTGAGTCTTCTATCCACTTGCAGCTGAAGCTTGTGTTTGCCTGTTCTTCACTGTCAGCTCTGTTTGTTTTTGCCTGTGTAGCCTTGGCTGTCCTGGACTCCTTGTAGACCAGGCTGACCTCACAGAGATCTGCCTGCCTCTTCCTCCCTGAGTGCTGGGATCAAAGGCATCCACCACGCCTGACTTCACTGTTAACTCTCAAACTCTTTAATTTTTGGAGGAAAGATCTTGTGGTGTAGCCAAGGCTGCCTTTGAACTCATGATCTTCCTGCTTGATCCACTCAGGTTCTAGGGTTACAACCACATGCCAGTTACAGACAGGGTTTGGCTGTATGATAGCCCTGTTTGTCCTGGACTGATTTGTAGACCAGATTGGCCTTGAACTCATAGAGATCTGATTGCCTCTGCCTTCCAATTTCTGGGATTAAAGGCATCTGCCACCACATCTTTTTTCTTTTCAAAAGACCTTGCTTTCCTGAAACTCAGTCTGTTGACCAGGCTGGCCTCCAACTCAGAGATCCATTTGTCTCTGCTTCCCAAGAGTGTTGGGATGAAAGGCATTTGACACCCAGTCTCAATAACCACATACTACAAAACAGTCCTGCACAAATGCTGTGGGAACCTTGTAGAAGAGGGCCTGGAAAGACTGAAAAAGCCAGAGGATCAGGGAGTTTGCTGTGAGATTGTGTCTCCTAGTAATTAATGTCAGAACCTACCAACATGGCTGTCCAAATGTGAGTTGAACAAGGGTGACACCAATGGACATAACAAAATAAATGGTGGTAGGGGAACCCAAAAGGCCTTAACTCTACACAAAGATCTATAAGCCACTCAGGAAAGCTGGGAATGGGAAAAGTGGTCTTCCCCTGGAAAGAGGACATGATTGCTTTTCCAGTGCCAGATGACCAGCCATGAAAACATACATACAAGTAATATAATATGGATGGAATAGGTTATATTTAGGAATATGTATGTATGCACATGTACATATATGCATGCAATAACAGTTAATGAATGGGGGCTGGGATCAGGCAAGTGATTAAAGAAATAAAAAAAAAAACAGCTAATGAAAAAAGAGGCCATGAATTTGAAGAAGAGTTGGGAAGGGTATATGGGAAGGTTTGGATGGAGGAAGTAGAAGAGAGACATATAATCTCAAAAAGAATTTTAAAAAGCATGGCTTTTCCAGGAAGAAAAATAAATAAATATTTTTTTTTCCAGATTAGTTTTTATGTAACTGAGGCTGGCCTTCAACTCTGCTGATCCTTGCGCCTCTACTTCTTAAGAGTTGGCATTATAGGTGAATATCCACTTTCTCCTTGCTTTCTCTTTCAGTACCTCAAATACTGTGTTGGGTTCATGTCCTCCCAAATTCCACATTATCACTCTCTGTGTCTTCACAGTCTCTTAACACTGTTCTGGGAACAAAATGGTGCCTAGTAAATGTTTTGTATAAATTGGAATGGCTCATGGTGAAAACCAGTGAGGATAGTAGAACAGCAGTTGGGGAAGATAGAAAGAAGTCAGTTTTGGGGCAGTGGCAGTAGTCAGAATAACTAGGAGGAAGTCAGTAGATATAGGCTGGAGTTCCATCTCTCTGGAAAACTCCTCTATCTGAGCTAGATACCTCATTTTGGTCACTGTATTTCTGGAACATTCTTGTGGGCCTTCTCTTTTGTTGCCTCTGTTAGCATTTTACCTCTTTTGAATGGCCCTAATTTTGTGTTCTAGAAGTGCCTGGCTGCTCCTATGTTAGTGTTGAACTGTGTAGTGAGATAGAACTAGTGTTTGAAACTGAAGCACAGGCTGCTCCTGAGCATTGGAGGAAGTTGTGTGGAGAAGGTGCCTTCAGGCTGATTAATTGTCCAGAGGCATCCAAAGCAGAGCTGGAGCCTTGCTCCTGCTCACTCACTGAGACCTCACCTCAGCCTGTGAGGTCTACCTGCCATAGAAGGAGGACCTTCAAGCGAAAGATGGGAAATTGAGTTGGGTGTGGAGTCGCATGTCTTTAATCCCAGCACTCAGGGGGTCAGAAACAGGCAGATCTCCCAGTTTGAGGCCTGCCTGGTCTACAATGCTAGTCTAGGATAGTCAAGGCTACACAGAGAAACTCTGTTTTGGGAAGAAAGAACGAGAAAAGAAAGAAAGAAGGAAAAGAAAATTGGTAAAGAGAACAAACCATTCATGTAATGGAAAATTTGATTTTTCAAGTGGCTGGACATGATGGCCTGTGCCTGCAGCCTCAGCACTCAGGAGGGGAGGCAGGAGGGTTGAAAATTCGAGGCCAGCCTGTCACATAGGGAGTTCCAGGCCAGCCTCAGCTATACAGTGAGACCCTGTTTCTACTTTGCACTCCTAAACAAAACAATACTCAAATACTGACTTACCTTTCACCTCTTGACCTCAAGAGCTGCCTTTGAGACTATTCACTTTTCCTCACGTGCTTTTTAGTGTCCGTCCTCTGCTCTTATTTCTAGTGACCTTGTTTTCTTCAGGGCCTTTCCTCTTATTCTGTCAAAATTAAACTGTTCTTCAAGACTAGGGGCTTTCAGGAATTAAGCTTGCCAAATCTGTTCAGTTGGATATGGCTCTCAATTTTAATATGATGATGATGTTGTTATTAATTATTAAAAGCCAACATGCATGTATGTGTGTGTATGTGTGTGCTGCCACTCTGTAACAGGGGCTTTACGTACAGAAAGATGACAATGAAAAGTCATACAAGTAGGAGTGGCATGGCTGGATCTAGTCCTGGGCTCAGGTCCTGCTGGCTGTATCTCATGTTTCATCTTACCTTTGCCTTCTAAAGTTGGTCTGTAACAGCTTATTGGCACTTTTGGGGCAGAGCTTGTGCCTTTTGGCATGGATCTCTATGCAAGGCAATACTCAATAAATGTTTTAAAGAATTAAAGGCCCAAACATTTTATTTCATTTTGACATAATCTATCATGGCGCTTGCTGGTCTGTCTCCCATTTTGCTGTTTATTGACCAGTGGCCTAAACCGCCCACAAGTGGCATTTTGAAAACAAACAAACAAACAAACAAACCTCCACAGAGTCTCCAGTGTGCCTGCACACGCCCTGTGAGTTCTTGGGGTCGGGGATGCTTAAACTGGTGTGTGCTCTTAGGTATGGCTAAGAGGGACCTCAACAAGAGCAGATAAGAGGAAAGTGTGTGTGTGTGTGTGTGTGTGTGTGTGTGTGTGTGTGTGTGTCAGGGGTGGGGGCTTATGGCAGTGGTAGAGATGCACAGTAGGTCACGTAGGCCTGTGCCTCATTAGTGTCAAGTTGCACAGTGAGATAGGCCAGCCCCGAGAATCTGGAGTGCAGGTAGCTCTTAAGGATTAGATGCAGCTGCCTGGAAAAAGTGCATCTGGAGCTGGGTGGATGGAGCGGGGAGGAAAGAAAAAAAAGCGCTTTGTAGGAAACAGAAACTGTATGAGTTTTTTTTTTTTTTTTTTTTTTTTTTTTGTAGTGGTTCCACACAGGCTTTTACTTAAATACTTTTTGCATGTTGGCTTTCATCAGACCATGCCTTTTCCCTCTTTCAGTGGTAGGAATTGATTGACCCTAGGGTTCCCTACATGTTAGGCAAGTCCTGTATCACTGAGCTACATCCTAGCCTTGTCCATATATTTTTAAATTTTATGTGTATGTGTGTTTTGCCTGCATGTCTGAATGTGTGTACGTGTACTATGAATAGGCTTAGTGCTCATTCAGCCCAGAAGGTGTCATATCTGCTGGAACTAGACTTAAAGAAGGTTGTCAGCCACCATATGCTTGTGCAAACTGACCCTGGGCTCTCTGCAAGAACCAGGGCTTTTTACCCCTGAGCCATGTTTCCAGCCCCCTTTTTGACTTTTTTATTTGGAGACAGGCCTTGAATCTGTGCTTCTGCCTTGTGCAGTCCTGTGTGTAACTCCAGCTACTTGGAAGTCTGAGGCTGAAAGATCACAGGCTTGAAAGCCCCTGCCTCTCTTACCAGTTATTGTGGTTGCCTCACATTTTATAGGTGACTGGGTGGCAGAGCAGCAAGGGATGGGGAGCGGGCAGCAGGGGCACCTGGTGGCCCTTACAGAACAAGCAATTCTGTGGGCTTCCTGACACCCCTAGGTTCTCTGGAGAAATGAGTGTAACATTTTTCCCCCTTTTACTTCAGGTTGCATTTGCCTTCTGGAGAGCTGACAACAGCAAGGGTAAGTTCTGAGCCTGAGCCCAGGCCTTCATCAGGTTGCATGGGAGTTCCTTAAGATACTGTAGTCCTGGTACACACACACACACACACACACACACACACACACACACACACACACGTCAACTTTTAAGTTCAGTCAGTACAAAAGACCACACTCTTGGCTTTTGGAAAATCTCCACTTCATCATGATCTCTGCATTTTTCTGGGTTTTCACAGGAAGGTGACATCTGGTTCCCTACAAGCTCCAGTTGGCAGCTGGCCAGCTGCAGCAGGAGGCCCTTTTTCTGGAAGGGTGTGGCTTGGGAAGCTAGGCAGGGGATGGTGGTGTTGACTTACAGGAAGCATCCCTTCTGTGCAACCTTTGAGAAGACCCTATATTCAAAGACAGGCATCTGGCGGTTACACTCAGCTGTTACGAGCATTGGCTGAGCCTAGAGATATATGCAGCTGTGACATGAGAGATGTCTTTGTCAGCTAGTTGTAAAAAAATGCTTGACGCATGTCTCTGATGTCTAGGCGTCACAGGATAAGGACTAAAGGCAGAATTGACCCCATTTCTCCCCACCTAGTGTTCAGTAGTGCTGTCTTCTAAAACCTGCAACTTTTGTTTGTTGGTTTTGCTTTTGAGACAGGGTTTCTCTCTGTATCCTTGGCTGTCCTGGAATTGGCTTTGTAGAACAAACAGGCTGTCCTCAAATTCAGAGTTCCTCCTGTCTGTACCTCCTAGGTAAAGGCATGTACCACCATGCCCAGCAAACCTGCCACGCTTAAAGCTTCTCCCTTGTGGCTTCTCTAGGTTGGAGGTGGCAGAGAGATCGTGCATCTGCTCAGCCTGAATTCTAATGCACTGGGTTGGGCCCCATATACTTTTCCAGTCCAGTCTACCTCTGGTTTGCAAGAAGAGTACTTTTTGCTTCCCTCTGAGCTGTTCTCCCTGTTTCACAGCCAGGGATCCTAGGGACTTTGTTGCTCAACTTTCTCTAGAGCTCATGTTTATTTTGGGGTAGAGATTCCTTTATACAAGGATTTTTCTTGGTTTTCTGCCAATTTTGCAAAGAATTTTCTCAGGGTACCCTTCTTGACCCAGGAATGTGCTCTCTGTCTCTCTCTGTCTTTCTCTGTCCCTCTCAAGATTTTATGTGTGGGGGTGTTTTGCCTACGCACTACAGGCATGTAGTACCTGAGGAGTCCAGAAGAAGGTGCCATATCCTTCTGGAACTAGAGTTACAGATGGTTGTGAGTTGGTGATGGGAAACAAACCCAAACCAAACCCAGGTCTTCTGGAAGAGCAGCCAGTGCGTAGCTGCTGAGCCATCTCTGCAGCCTAGAGTTGGTCGCTTTTGAGATCTTCCACATTACTCTTGTCCTTGGGTCAATAGAGGGTGTTTTTAACTCTACCCCAGTTTCCTTAAAAAGTGCATGGAGGGGGCTGGAGAGATGGCTTTTCTTCCAAAGGTCCTGAGTTCAATTCCCAGCAACCACATAGTGGCTCACAACCATCTATACTTGTATCTGATGCCCTATTCTGATTTGCATGTGTACATGCAGATAGAGCCCTCATATATATAACATAAAAAAATAGTCCAAGGAGAAAAGGTTGATGGGTACCTTTTGGAAGCGGTCCATTCTGTTGATATGTGACACTCTCTACCTTATTATCCACCACCCTCTTTTCTTTGCTGGCTCTATACACTAAGAGAGAAATGAAAATGAAGCCCAGAGAAGGTTCATGAGCAGAATTTAGCAGATTCTGGGTTTTTGTTTTGTTTTGTTTTTGCTGTCATCTTTTACAGATGACAAATCCATCAATTAGAAGAGAAAGTTAATCAACAAGAAGGGGCCACTCCAAGGTCATTTGGTTTGACAAAGCTTGTTCTGCACATCAGTTCCCAGGGCCCAATTACTTCCCCAGAGCTTTTCTTAGTGACAGTAACCAAGACTATCATCTTAGCTGCGGCCTCTCTGCTTTGTAGCTTTCTCCTGGGGATCTCAGAGGGAAGTGGGTGTGGGCTGTTGTTATTAAGTATCCCACCAGAAGGCAGAACCCAGGTTTCCCAACCCAATTCAGCTTGCTTGTAACTTGTCTTATTTGTTACCCAGGCTGGGTGCGGGCCTAGGGCATGGCAAGGCTGCTGGAAATATTGAGTGCTGGAAATATTGCTCTAGCTGAGTGAGTGTGGGCTAGGCCAGACTCCTGTGGCAGCTCCTCTCCTGACCGGCTTGCAGCATGACATCCCAAGCTGAAGCTGCGGGGAAATTTCCATGAGCTGGCTCTGCTGAGTCATGTTTAAGTCTCCTCTCTCCTGCCTGTCACTAGTAAGCCCAGGGTCTGTTACAGTTACCTGTAGGAATATTAAGCTATCACTTCTTATGTCTGCACTTCCTGCACACTCCCCACCGATGATGCGCTACCATTGGTAAAAAACTTATTAATAATAAATCATTAAAATAAACGTAGTATTTGTTTTGAGACATGTTCTTTTCATGTATAAGAAATTAGCTTCTGGAGCCTCAGTGACTGGGTGAATTTCCATGACAGGTGAGTGGTATATTTCGGTGAGATTTTGAGTGCCACACCCCAGCCTGACCCATGGATCTTTGAGAAATGTCAAATTGGATCATTCATAGTGACTTTGGTTGAAAAGTTTTTGGTTTTTGGTTGTTTTTCTTTTCTTTTTTTTTTTTTTTTTATTTTGAGACATTGTTTTGCTGTGTGGCCTCAAACTTACAGAGATCTGCTTGCCTCTACCTTCTGAGTGCTGGGATTAAAAGCAGGCACCACCATGTCAAACTGTAAAGTGTGAGTTTTGAGTTGTTAAAATTGGAAATTAAAAAACCTAGTTCTTCCTTTTAAAGACTTTTAAGTTTAACTCTTTAAGGATAACCTTTGAAATTTTCCATTCTATTTACAATTTTAGAAAAATTTAACAATCACTTTGAAGGGCCTTTTTTGATTTATGTTGGTCTCCTTTGAATAATTAATGAAATTTATTTGAAAGTTTTAAATTGAATATAAATTACAGTCACCTTCCCTTAATTATTTTATTATTTCTTCCAATCACCTGATTAAAAGCCCCTTAATATTTTAATTATTCCTATAAATCTAATAAAGTAAGCTGGCTCTTAAATTTTCTTAAACATTCCTGTTATGTCTTATTTATTTTTAAAATTTTAGGGTTTTTTATTGTTGTTGATTTTTATTTTTTGTTTGTTTGTGTTTTTTGGTTTTTTGAGATTGGGTGTCTCTATGTAGCCTTGGCTGTCCTGGACTCACTTTGTAGACCAGGCTGTCCTTGAACTCACAGAGATCCACCTGCCTCTGCCACCTTGAGTGCTGGTGTTACAGTTGTTCACCACTGAGCCTGGCTAGGTTTTTTGTTTTGTTTTGAAACAGTGTTTTACCTTGACTTGCAGTAATTTTGCCTCAGCCTTAGGAATGTTAGAACTTATAGGCATAAACTACCATGACCAACACTGCATTGTATGTGTATCTGTGTGTCTGTATGTCAGTGCAGGTACACGAGGAGGCCAGAGGTGTCAGATCACCCTGGAGCTGGAATTCCTGGTAGTTGTGAGGCACCTGATATGGTGTTGGGAACCAAACTTGGGTCTTCAGGAAGTGCAATGCTCTTGACCATTGGAATATATGTCCTCCCCACCCCAAGAAAGTACAAAATTGCTTTTTATTCCTGGAGACTAGTTTGCATATTTGTGGACTTTTCCATAGGTAAGCTGATGCAGGATCACTTCTACTCTGTCTGCCTTCTTTCACTCAGTATAAGCATTTTAAGATGTGTTCATATTGTTGCATGTGTCAGTAATTCAGTCATTCTTACTACCGAGGAACTATTCTATTACATGGACATCATACAGTTATCCCTTTACTTATTGTTGGTCATCTCAGTCACTTTCAGTTTTTGGCAGTTACAAATTAAGCTGCTCTGATCCCTTGTGTATAAGTCTTTGATTTGGCAAATACTGTACTGGTGAGCTATGCCCCCAGCCCTGAAAGTAGCATTTTACTGGTGTGTGTGTGTGTGTGTGTGTGTGTGTGTGTGTGTGCATGTACTTGTGTATGCATGCTGGCCAAGCACTCTACAAACTGAACTACATCCCCATGCCTGTGTTCAAGTTTTTTGTTTATTTGTTTGTTTTTTCAAGGCAGGATTTCTCAGTATAACTTTGACTGCCCTGGAACTCATTCTGTAGCTCAGCCTGGCCTCAAACTTAGAGACCTGCCTGCCTTCACCTCTCAAGTGCTGGGATTAAAGGCATATAGCACCACTGCAGGCAAGATTTCTTAACACCAAATTAGTAATACTCTGGCTTTAACTTTTTTTTATAACATATGCACTTAATCCTATATCTTTATGTTACTCAGAAGTTCCTGAATAAGGAAACAATTAATGATATGCACATTACTTTAAGAAACTTTTGGTAATTGTTCTTCATAATTTAGGGACCCTTGGCCTAGATGAAGTTAGGTCTTGGCTTTTGAATCTGGCTGTGAAGCAGAGCCATGATTCATTGCCATTTTGCCTCCAGATAGGGCGGTCTTATAGCCCTTGGGCCCTGGATAGAAACACTATTGCTTAATTTTTTTTCCTGTAACTCCAATTCTCTACCAGATGCTGAAGCCATGCACTCGATTTGACTCATATACTTATGGCTGCATATCCTACAGAATAGGTAGAACTTGAATGCAAAGTAAGTGGAACTTGGATTCTGTGTAGCTGTCAAGATTTCGTCTGACCAATGACCAGTTACAGAATTCATACCAGTGACTCAGCAGGGCTAGAATTTGGGTCCTAGACTAGGTCTGGCATTCCACTCACTATTTCATACCTTTTTTTCCTTTCCCAAGCAGAAAGAGAGTGTGGAACTTAAGGATTCTTACTTTTTGGTCAGTCAGGCGTAGTTACCTAGAGTCCTGGCAACTGGAATCAATGCTACCTTCAGTTCCTTCCTTTGATAATCTGGCCTCTCCCTGACCCCCTAGTG